GATACCCGCTCCAGCTGTCGCCACGGGCCGCCACGCGCCACGTCAGTCGGGCGCCACACGACTATTCAATTTCCCTGTCGCTTCCCCTTCCCTCCACTCCTCTCTCTCTCTCTCTCTCTCTCTGTTTCCGCACACGCACAAAACACACCCACGGAGTAAAACCGTACCGCTGTTGGGATGTACACACCTCTTGGGACACTACACACACCGAGAGGCAACATTGGACATCACTTCGCGTACCGCAACATAGAAAAGTACATCGACCGACAAAAAAGAAAGTAACGCACACATCTGGAAAAGTCAACGGAGCGTTTGGTCAAAAACACGGTCAAAAACCGCGCAATAATAGCGTTTCCGTGCTCCCCGTAGCCTTAAACGCTCCCACGGTCCACGGTTCCCTCCAGCTTCCCTCAGCGACCAACAATTGTTCTTCCTCGGCGGTCCGGGCGGAGCAGGTGTGCCAGGAGGGGGATCGCTACCCCCCCCCTTACCTCTACCTTCACACCTTACCTTACCCCCGTTTTTCCTTGAAGGCCCCCCAGCGCAAGACATAATGGACGTTTTCCACCCCCACCATCCCTCGCCCCTCTCCTCCCCTCCGCCCCGAAGGGCCCAGCGAGGCCCGCACACAAATTCAACCCTTCCCCACACAGCCTCCCCCTCCCTCCCCCCACCCCCGGCTCTCTCCTTATCCCCTGGAGACCTACCGGGCACCCCACCCCTCCTCTTGTCGGCTGCTGCAACGCAGACGGTCTGGGGGAAGCGCGCGGCGCACGCCAGGGGCGCAGAGGAGAGCACCGCCAAACGCCCTCCGATGATCCAGATATAGATATCGCCAGAGATCCCCCCCGCCCCTGTCTACGCTCCAAATTCTCCGTATTGCAACTGTTTAAAGTTCATTGCAGGTAACTCAGAGCAAGCTTCCTTTATACTTTTACACATCGCTTCTAGCTCAGCGAAACCCCTCCCCATTTCCTATCACACTGTAACAAGCTTGCGATATGGATTGCACCGGTGAACTGACGTCCTAACCCTCATTGAAGTTGAAGTAAGCTTTTAACGGTGCACACCACCACCTTCCTGCTCTCACAACCACCACCAACACCGGTGGACTGTCGACTCTAAAGCCCCCCGAAATCTACCTTATTAAAATTCATACACACATGAATATGATAGACGGGGGCCGGACGGAATCATTCATAGTGAAAGTATGGGGGGAGGGGAGAGAGGGGTTGTGAGAGGGATGAGGTGGG